GCTTTCCCCTCTTTCCCCTCTTTCCTCTATCTCAATTCTCTCTCAGTAAGAATACTTCCGGTTGAGAGGTTTAATTGCAGCCAGCTTCTCCCCTTTCCCTTATTACAGGGGTCAGCTCTTTGTTCTATAAAACTTCCAGAAAAATTCCAAAGAATTAGCAAATCATAAAATGAATGGCTTATTGCATTGTTGTCTATTTCCTATTTCCTAAAATGATTGGTAATGTCCTTGGCAATGACCGCTTGCTGCAAAATTGCAAGTGCTCTTCCGTAATCGTTTAGCACAATGGTTTTGAATGTTTTTTTGTTAAATAATCTAAATATAAGGAAAAATGAAAGTTGGGGATTGTTTTTAACAACTAATTTAACAATATTATCAATCAGTTACTTGATCTGGTTTCAAAAAAGTTCAAATAACTTGAGGATTTAGAAGTAAAACTATCATTTGCCATCTCCACATAAGCCAAACAGATTCTACAAGCATTCGAAAGATTCAAAGTGCTTTCGCTTGCTGAATAGCTTGTTTTACTTTTTAAAACTGAACCACAAAGCTTCAACTTATGACTTTCTTGCTCTGAAACTTATGAAAATCACTCTGAAATCTACTATATATGTTTGTTTGTCTGTGCACACTACCGGAGGAGCCAGTGGACTACTCAGTGGACCCAGTGGACTACTCAGTGGACCAAGTGGACTGTTTCAAATGACTTATAGTTAGTTTGACTTAGAATTCCATGTAGTTGTGCAACATGTTATTAAATTTTTAAAAAATCAAAAGTGCAGACGCAGGTCGGAGTCGAACCCGGATTGTGTGGGTTGGAGACAGAGGCGCTCGCACTGCGCCAGCATGGCCGAGTGGCCGAGGAGCAAGGCCTAGTGGCTGAGGTGCAGGGCCGAGTAGTTAATAGGCATAACCGGTCAACGATCAGATAAAAGAGCATGGCCGAGTGGTTAACACGAGCGTTTCTCAAACGAGCGGAGGAGAGGGGTCGCGGGTTCGACTCCTCTCGCCACCGAATCTTTTGCTTTTTGTTCCAAAAATTTTTTTCTTGCAAAGCTGCTGGCAATAAAGAAGATAACAGAAAGAAACAGTAAAGAAAGCTAAAGGTAGGGTAAACTGCTCCTAAAGGAACTCAAGAACCAAAAGCTCAAGAACCAAGAGCAGAATATAGCTTGTGTTGCAATGAATTCAGAGCCCAATGAATTCAGAGCTTCAAAACGAAATCTTCAGTAGTCTAAGCTTTTGTCTATAATTGTCTGCTGGTTTTGTTTGTGTATGTCTACAATGCAAGTTTTAGTTGTAGATAAAATTTCCGAGCAATTCGCCAAGAAACTGTAAAGAAAACGAAGATGGAATCAGGTTTGAAGTTGAAAGTTCTAACGTTTTCCAATTCTCACGTTTAATACCTTGAAATTCTTGAGTTTGTTTTCCACTAAACATCTCAAAGCACTTCCGCGAATTGAAAACTCGTTACAATGATCAAAAGAGCTCGCTACAATGATCAAAAGAACTCGCTACAATGATACCAAACTCGCCCACGCCAATCAAACCGTTCCACTTTCTCAATCTTAACTCTTTTCACCTATCATCAAACTAATGAACAAAGCAAGCATGTTGCGATAAAAACGAGTATTAATCATAAACGATTTGCAGTTCAATTTGCAGTTCAATTTACAGTTCAATCCGTTTTGAACTCTACACAATCTTCTTTTTTATTCGCCTTTTTGTCACCATGTTGTTTTGAAGGTGAAACTAAAAAGATTTGAATCTGCTCTTTTTATGAGGCCAACTTTCACAAGGAAAAAGAAAGAAAAGCTTGAAAATGAGAAGACTTTTCAAAGAAAGCAAAAGGCAAAAACCAAAGCTTTGAAAGCAAAAGGCTTTTCTTGTGAAGATCGGTATCTCGGGGAGTTCCCCATTTCACTTAAAGGCTGAAGGAATGCTGAAAGAAGTTAGAAAAGCGGGGGGGAAAAGTGGAAAAGAAAGAATAAATGAAGAGTGGCGAATCGAAAATCTCGTTCATCTTGCCGAATCCGCCTCTTTCCCCAAGAATTTTCCATGGATCGGTGAAAGTTTGACCTTGAAAGTGCAAAAATGTGGATGATGAATGCACCGGCTCTGATCCGATGAAGTTGACACGAATTCCTGACCATTGTTTTTGTTGAGGGTTCAGAAAATAAGCAAAAAGTATTGAGGGGGAAGTTTTAGAAACATTTTACAGAAACTTTACGAATTTATTCAACGATTGACTAGGGAAATGTTTTATGTTAAAATCGATTCGAAATATGAGACTAAACACTTTCTTCAAATTTTAACGGATACTTGCTTTTCAATTTTACCCAATTTCACTCAACTTTTGAGAAAAACACGGAAGTTTGGAAAACAAAAAACGCCATCGCGATATGGGTGAGAATTAGTTGCTCTCAAAAAGTGACCGGATGGCGTAGCGGATAGTGCGCTCGCCTCCTGCACCTCCTGCACGATGGGATTCCTGGTTCAAATCCCCTCGCTGCCAAAAGCTAAATCTTAGCCGCTTTATAGCTTCTTACTATTTATAGACACTTTAAAATACTTAAAAATTCGTTTTACTTGGTTTTAGTGGTTTAACAAGAAAGCAAAAAGATTTTGACAGTGAAGGGATTCGAACCAGGGACAAAGATTGGATAGCGATCGATCCAAAGGCGAGCACAATATCCACTACACCACTAGTCACTCTGCTCTGGGACGATTAATTCGCCCCCATACCACGGCGGGACTTTTTCCAAAAAATGTCCAAACTTTTCCTATCAAAATTTTTGGCAAATGCGACCCCGCCAATAAGGGGGAGCCACATCGATGGGAACGAAAAGCCGCAGTGGCCTAGAGGATAGTGCGCTAGTTCGTGGGACCTACACGATTCTTGCGCTCGGGTTCGATTCCGCTTGTCTCCGATATTTTCCACTTTTTTTCCAAACCTCTAGAAAACATTTTTTAGAGTTCCTAAAGTGTTTAAAAAAATAAAGAAGTATAGAGAAAGCATTAGCCAATCTAATTAGGTGGAGTTCTAATTCTTAGAAGTTTAGCTAGTGCCATGACCTGGTGGTATAGTGGAATAGCCGACTGGTTTGTAAAACTGTAAAAGATATTCAATTAATACAAACATCTTGCTCTTTTCACTGTTTATAGACTGTTTTGGATTGTTTTCAATCAATTACTTGGCAAATTTCTTATTGTTAGATGTAGTATAAACTTCTTTCTTGTTTGTGGCTTTGTTACACTGAAACTGGTAAGCGTATGCTTGGTAAGATGTTTTAGACGATAGAAACAGCACCTTTAACCTTCAATAAACTTTAGTAAACAATTTTTATACGATTGGTATTGATTGTTTAAATAAAATTGATTTGAAACATTGTGATCACCATGTAAAATTGATTATTTTGTTCAAAATACCCAATTCAAGACTTTTTTCATTTGTTTGAACCCAAAAACTTTCTTTGTCCGCAGATTTTTGATCTTGGTCCGCAGATTTTTTGATCAAAACTTTATCAGACACAAAAAAAATCAGCATCAACATCACAAAAAGCGAGTTCCAGAGGGTAAAGGGGAGCGCTCTCATAAAAAAAAAGCAGAGAGAAAGAATGAAAGGACGATGACTCGTGTCGGCTCTTGTTTTGCAGCTCTCCTGTCAGCTCTTTTCTCCGTCTCTCGCTCATTTCAAACAATAGAGCAACAATAAAATTGACAATTAAACGCTTTTCATTGAAATTTTAGTTAGCAAGATAGAAATTGGGTATTTTTGATTGATCAGAGACTTTTTGAGAGTAATTTTGCATGTCTGTCTGTTTGAAAAAACGGATCTTAGGTCAAGACTGATACTAGTTAAATTTTACAATGATTTTACAACGATACAACTAATTTTAAAGCTTTTTTCAAGCTTAGCTTTGCCTATAATAAAATTGACTCAACATATTCAATTAACGATTTAAATTTGAGTCTAGCTGATGTGCTTAATTCAGCTCTAAACATCTCGTGACTCGTGTCGGCTCTTGTTCGCTATTTACTTTGAATTTAAGCTCAAACGCACCAGACCTACACCATAGCCAATAAAGCTAGCTCCGAGATGATCAAATGAAAAACAGAAACTGGCAAAAACTCGCTATTCATTTCAAAAGAGCTTTAAATCAAAGGACAAACTTGACCTTGAGCATTGAATAGACGTTCTGGAGAGGAAAAAAAAGACTTTTCTCTTTCAGAAAAGCCGAACTCCTTGTCTTGACATGTAGTTAATTCGTTTTGATTTCGAACGTCTGTCTTTTTTTTTTCCGTTTCTTTGACCTTGCATTCCTTTTCTGATTCTAGCCTTTGTCCTTGTTTGATTCAACAAAGCAACAAAGATTGGCGATTTGTGAATCACAAAGGAATAACTGTTTAAGTAGACAGATAGACTCTAGTTTACAAGGAGAAAGCATGGAATTATTATGGTTTTTGGAAATTTGGAGATATGGAGGGCTTTTTGAACTTTGACTACTTCATCATATTGAAGCTAACCTGGGTCTTTAATTAGTTTTTGTCCAATCCTTTGCAATCGCAAATAGAGCGAAGATTTTTGGGGGCCTTCATCAGGCGAAGTTGGCCACCGGTTGCTCTGTGGCTGACTGGTAAGTAGATACGCTACAAGGCGATTGGTCTAGCGATCGTGAGCTAGGTTCGATCTAGCGATCGTGAGCTAAGTTCGATCCCGGCGGTCGGATTTTATTTTGATTTTTTAGTTTTTCACGATCCCCAGCATTGACTTTATTGAATCTTAATTTTTAGTCTGAATCTCCTTGTTACTTTTTGAATACTTTGCGGATTTCTTTAACTTCTACCAAGTCTAAAACAGGATCTGTATAAAAATTAAAGCTTTATCCAAAACTTTACAGCAATACACACACAAAATGAAAGACAAAATGAAAGAAAAAATGAAAGACAAAAGACAAAGAAAAATGTTTGAGCCAATCTCTTGTAGCCAATAAGATTTAGTATCCAGGTGCAGTTCTTGGTGGTGGGCAATGACTGCAGCCACCTGCAGGTCCAGCCATTCCATCGGGCCCTCGACCTCCAGGGATTCCCGGTTTCCCAGGAATTCCTGGTGCTCCCGAGCCTCCGCTTTCTCCCGGACTCCCGTCCAATCCCGGTTTCCCAGGCTGGCCAGGGAATCCATCAGGACCAGGCAATCCAGGTCCGCCTGGGATTCCTGGCGGACCATCAGGTCCAGGCACAACGCTGAGGATTCCCGGAGTGCCGGGCGCTCCTTTAGCTCCAGGAACTCCAGGCTGTCCTGGCGGTCCCATTGCTCCCACTCCTCCAGGTGGACCTCGAACTGAAGCCTCTCCAGGTTTTCCGGGAAGTCCTGGACCTCCAGCAAATCCTTTAGGTCCTGGGCGACCGGGTGGGCCAGCTGGAGCATCAGGACACTCGTAGCACCAGTCCTGAACGATTTTAGCAGTAAAACGTGAACTTAAATCATTAAACAGTCGTTAGATGAACTTTACTCACCAAATTTGGTGGTGGGGGTGCCTCAACGCCGGGTGGGCCGTCTTTTCCCGGGAATCCAGGTGGTCCATCCTCTCCATCTCTGCCATCAGGCCCTGGCAAGCCTGCGGGTCCCGTCGGTGACACTCCACAACCACAACATGCTCCTAAATTTAATATATAGCACTGAGTTTTGATTTGCTTCACCTTGTAATGTTTAAAGGCACCCGAAGATTGAGAAATTAAGAAATTTTCTTGAAAATTTTTGAAATTTGTTTAAAAGACACTCAAAATTGACGAAAATTTCTTTGAAAAAGCCAAAAAGACAAAAAAAAGACTAATTCTTTCTAATTTTTTGTATTTTTTTTACCGAATTCGTTTTCTTCATGAGAAGCTCTCACTAAAGTCTAACTATGAAAGCATTTTCTTGCATTTGATGATTATTTTAAACTCATAGAGTTAGAGGAAATGCTTTTTGGAAAAAGTGAAACAATGGGGTGTGAAAGAGTTGATTAAAGAAGAAGAAAAAGAAATAAATGCAAAAAGGAGACGGTCTTGATCACTGTTTATGAGGGACGAGTGGAAAAGAAAGGAAAGGAAAGAAAGGAGAGAAAGGGGCAAATGGGGAAGTGATCGCTTCGGGAAATGGGGATCGGCAATAAAGGGTAAGTAAAGTAAAAAAGATATTAAGCTAGTAAGCTTAAATTTTGCTTTGATTAGAAAGACAAAACTCTAGGGAAGTATTCAGATTTGAAGTGAACTTGGCAGATCTTCAAATCAGTTCCTAGTTCTAGAAATTTTGAACGTTGCAAACCTGTATTGATAAATATTAATACTAAATTTGCTTAGAATTTGCTTTACGGAAGATCAAAGGTAAGTCGATGTTGTCACCGAGGCTAATCTCAAGAAGTTTTGAGATCAGCTACACTTGAAAGCCACTCCTTCGCAAACCAGAATGACAAAGAATATGGGAGTTTCTCGAACTTCTATGAGCAGTATTGTCAAAAATCGTCTTGGAACGAGAGCTTCATTGGTGTCATTGGTGTCATTTGAATGTAAGATGTAGGCTTAGGCTTAGCTCATATCGTTCTAGCAGTAATTTTACATGTAATTTCAAGCGCCTAAGCACTCTGATAGCTCATATCGTTCTAGCAGAAGCGATAACTTTTGAGTTTCTATGATATCATGCTTAAATCCTCAAGTTCTTTAGTCCCCGTAATCCTGAACAACCCTGTATTTATGTTACACTCTAATACAAGTGCAAAATTTGATAGAAAACTTTGATAAAAATTTGTTGGAGAACTATTTACATGTAATTCTCTGGTTAGATGTAATTTTACATGTAATTTCAAGCGCCTAAGCACTCTGATAGCTCATATCGTTCTAGCAGAAGCGATAACTTTTGAGTTTCTATGATATCATGCCTAGTTTTACAGTTTTTACAGTTTTTAGGATACATTTTTTACCGTTTTTACAGTTTTTATAATACAGTTTTTACCATTCTACGCCAAGAGCTTCTTCGGAACTTTTCTTACACCACTATAGCACCTAATGTTCTTTGAACATTGCACCCGATCAATCAAAGCACGCAATTTCCACTAGATGACACACTCGAGTACACGCATTCCATTCAAATGATAAGCTCTCTTCCCTACTAGTACTTTTTCTGTGTCACTTCTTTTCAGTACATTCTGTCATTTCTTTTTCCTTTTTTCTAATATGAGATGACCCTTTAAAGCACTTGTCATTCTTGTGGTCGAAGGACGTCTTTGTAAAGAGCTTGAAAAAACGCTCTTTTTCAGCAGCGAATTTTCTTTTTAATGGTTTTTGGGGTTTGAATGATAAAAAGCAAAAATCTACTAGATTTTCCACTAAATTCTAATTGTTTAGAGGGTTTGTTGTACGCTCTAAAGTAACATTTCCACGAGCGTAGACAGTCAGCAATGATTCGTTAGTTCTTTGTGCTAAAAGAAACTAAAACAAGATTCCTGGTGCGCTGGAGCTATTCCTGGCGCACTGGAGCTATTCCTGGCGCACTGAAGCTATTCCTGGCGCACTGGAGCTATTCCTGGCGCACTGGAGCTATTCTTGGAGCTATTCTTCTTACTAAATGCGACACTCAATCTCTTAGCTCTTATATTGTCTAGCTCTTATATTTAAGAGTTTTAACTATTTGAAAACATTGCCTAGCTTTAGAAAACAAGCTTTAGCCATTTCTCGACAACTTTTAGGCTCTTGTTTTTTCTAATCTAACGATTTAACGACTTTTGTTCAAATTTTTCTTATCACTAACATTTCTCTCTCAATATCACAATGAAATTTTCATCGAACAATAGAAATCACACCTTTTTGAGCTTTTCTTAATCAACGTTTGATGTAAAAGTTTTCAATTGTTGCTGCAGGGAAAAGAGGGAAATTGGGAGTGGTCACCAATTTGAGTGATCATAATTTCAGGAAGAAAGATTTATGAATGGAGAGGGTTTTAGAAAAAAAAGAGGTAATGATAAATTAAAATCAGATTTAACCTCAAAAGCAAGTATTCCTTTAGTGTTATTATCGTAAAGAAAGACAGCTTTGAACTGCTTTGAACTTGTAAACTTTTCTAGACTTTCTTGTCTAACAGTTTACATTGTTAGTATTGTTTTCGTTACCTTGAATCGGGAATTGTCCCTCAACACCTAGCGATTGAGCATCGTAACCAGCTTGCCGCTTTCCTCGTTGACCTGAGACTTGAGCAAGAACCTGGAAAAATTACATAAAGTATTACATAAAGTATTACATAAAGTACAGGGCGATCCAAAATCATGTAACTCCTTCTCAGAAAACTAGCTAGAGTTTGCGTAACTTATTTTAAAAGTCTCAAATGTTATATAGAGAATTGAAGTCTTTAATCTTGGCTTCATTTATCTACTAAAAACTTTACAATCGGATTTATGCAGCTCATTTTACAAGCTTTCGAATGAGCTCTAGTCGGTCGATCTCTTCCCTTTTATCAAAAGAGCTCGAATTATTCTTATTGTTATTAAATAGCATGAAATTATATTCTTACATTAAATAAATAGCGTAAAAAGTTTTCTGATATTTTTTTCTAAAGAAAATCATCAAAAATAGAGAAGAAAATCGTCAAAAACTTTGCCAGAGAGAAGCCGACTAGAGCTCATTCGAAAGCTTGTAAAATAAGTTGCATAACTCCGATTGTAAAGTTTTTAGTAGATAAATAAAGCCAAGATCAAGATTTCTACTATATATAAAGGAACTAAGACATCTGTCTGAGCTTTATATTTATAGCTTTATATAGCTTTTTATAAAGAAAATCATCAAAAATGCACTTTGCTAGAGAGAAGCCGACTAGAGCTCATTCGAAAGCTTGTAAAATGAGCTGCATAGATCCGATTGTAGAGTTTTTAGCAGATAAATAAAGCCAAGATTAAGTGCTTCATTTCTCTATATAACATTTGAGACTTTTGAAATAGGTTACGCAATCTCTAGCTAGTTTTCTGAAAATGAGTTGCCATTCTGGACCATTCTGTATATTAGTTTGACCGAAAAGTCTTATCTTCCTTCTGAAAGTCACTTTTTTTTTTTGAAATTTTCATTTATAAATGAATAATTAGGCGATAAAACACGTGATTTACTTTAAAATAAAAAGATTAACGATTTAATTTAGCTCATTTTTAGACAATTTTGAAGCTTTGAAGCTCAAAGGAAACTCCGCTTTGAAGCAAATCCGAACGGGAATCCTTGTTTGTTTTTCTAAAATCTTTACAATGGACATAGAATGGAAACGGCTTGATGAAATGCTATGAAAATTTGTCTATTTGTCTAACTTTTTATTCTCGATCTTTGTCTTTTGACACAAAAATAGATTTCTGTGAGAAAAAGTGCTTAAAAGGTTTGAGTTTCATCGTTTTTCACTCCTCGATTTCACACCTTTAAAAAAAAAATCGCTAACGCAAGCTTTTCAGAATTCCTAAAGAACAATTTGTTAATAAATGATAGGAATTTCCGATAAAATAAACTAGAAATCGATTGGTTTATTAGTTTTTTTCAAAAATAACCTTAAAAAAGAAAACAAGGCTTTATGGAAACAACCTGAAACATCCATTTTTTTTAAAATGTACTCACCTGTGTTCTGGTGACTTCTTTCCAAATATTTGAGGATCTCTGCCGACAAAAGTCAACCTCAGCCTGAATAAAAAGTTGTTTCAAAAGTCGATTCAATGGTTTAGATACAAGAAAATTGCTTTGAAAATGGTCTAATAGTGAAACACTTGTCCATGGTGTTTCAAAAGTTCGAAGCCACCAGGAAACCGGCACACACACAGTGTACTTGTCTTTCCGACACACAGAAAACCTTTTTTGCAAAACGATTTAGAAATTCGAAATCTAGATGAAATTTTGATCTAAAAAAGGTTTTTTAAATAAAAAAACAGGACCTTTTTTACTGATGTTTCCAAAAAAGCTATCAATCTTGGTTTGAAAACTTAGGGCATCTATGGCAAAGTGGGGATCAAACTTGTGAGGTGGCTCTACGCTCTACGCTCTACGCTCTACGCTCTACGCTCTACGCTCTACGCTCTACGCTCTACGCTCTACGCTCTACGCTCTACGCTCTACGCTCTACGCTCTACGCTCTACGCTCTACGCTCTACGCTCTACGCTCTACGCTCTACGCTCTACGCTCTACGCTCTACGCTCTACGCTCTACGCTCTACGCTCTACGCTCTACGCTCTACGCTCTACGCTCTACGCTCTACGAACGCTGTACCACTCGGTCACGGTGGCACCGAGATGAGTCCGCAAAGAGGCCGCTAAAACCCAAATAAAACCCCCAGTCCTAACAAAACTTTAGACGCTTCTAACTCCTGGCAGATTGTCATTTAGCAAAAAAACTTTTGAACTTTTGAACTTTCGAATCTTTCCAGAAAATGGAAACGAGTTGGAGAAATGAGAAAATGTAATTTTTTCAGAGAATGTAACGGAAACACCATTTAAAGTCGCGTTAAAGATAGAATTTTCGTACTTGCATCACTGATTGCACATGTTGCAAGTAATTGTAGCAAAGTGGCACCGAGAGGACACAGATCAAAGTGGCGACGGTCGAGACGGAGACGCCGATGAATGCCAGTCTAAAGAAGGCTTTTTAAATCAACAATTGTTTAAATCAACAATGTAATTGTTCGGTTAAAATCTTCAGTCTGACTAGCTATAATTCATTTGTATTGTTTGTATTGTTTGTATTGTTTGGATTGTTTGGAATCTCATATCAACATGTCAACATTGAAAGGATTCACCTCCGAAACGCAGCCGCATCGCGTTCCAGCGACTTCTCGCCGCTCATGAGATCCTGGAATTGGAATGGATGGAATTAAAGAACTTTAATAGAATGGAATTCTTTAATGGAATTAAAGAACAGTAAATTAATGAATTTAAGAGAAAAACAAATATTTAAAGAAAGCTATAAGTTTTTTCTTGAGTTAATGAAGTTTTTGGGAATATTTTCCTTTATTTAGATAAGGTTTTGGGATTTCTTTGCGTAAATCTAAGGAAAATAGTCAAAGAACGAAATTTCTTCAGAGAAAAACTTCAACAAACATCGAAATTCTTGTTTAAAACTGAAGAAACATTGAAATTCTTGTTTAAAACTTCAAGAAACATTGAAATTCTTGTTTAAAACTCAAAAAACATTGAAATTCTTCTTTAAAACTTCAAGAAGCATTGAAATTCTTCTTTAAAAACTCAAGAAACATTGAAATTCTTGTTTAAACTTCAAGAAACATTGAAATTCTTGTTTAAAACTGAAGAAACATTGAAATTCTTGTTTAAAACTTCAAGAAACATTGAAATTCTTGTTTAAAACCCAAGAAACATTGAAATTCTTGTTTAAAACTTCAAGAAACATTGAAACTCTTCTTTAAAACTGAAGAAACATTGAAATTCTTGTTTAAAACTTCAAGAAACATTGAAATTCTTGTTTAAAACTGAAGAAACATTGGAATTCTTGTTTAAAACTCAAGAAAGATTCAAGCTTTTTCGTGAAATTCTAGAAATTTTAACGCTTTTGCACGATTTTAAGGTAAAAAAAGAGGTTTTTCATAAGATTTAAGGCAAAAAGTCAATCATATTCTTACAAATTCTTACTTAAATCTCAAATTTTCAACTTAAAATGCTAAACATTCTGGAATGAATCCAAAAATTTGCATATCTTTTGAATGTTACTGAAAGAAATTTGAAGATTTTGTTGGCTTTTCTTTTTTTTTCATGGGAGATCACGCTCCGATGCGGATCAGATACGCTGAACTGGCCACTTTTGGGGGGAAAAAGCATGCAATCTTTTTCGAATCCCCTCTTTTTCCAATACTTTCCCCCCGAACTGGTCATCTCTTTTCCTTTTCCTTTTCCTTTTTCCTTTTTCCTTTTTCCTTTTCCTTTTTCTTTAATCCTTACATGGAATCGAGGCTAAAGAACAAACGGTTGGCAATGGAAAAAAAAGGTTTTTGTTTTATGGAAAACCAGCCCGCTAAAATGAGAAGAATTTGAGGAATTTCTTGAAAAGAAGTTGAAACGAAAGGCTCATAGAAAGTAGCTTTGGCTAAAGAAAGTAGCTTTGGCTCAGAGAAAGTAGCTTTGGCTAAAGAAAGCTTTGGCTAAAGAAAGTAGCTTTGGCTCAGAGAAAGTAGCTTTGGCTAAAGAAAGTTGCTTTGGCTAGGCTTGGCTCAAAGAAAAGCTTTGGCTCAAAGAAAAGCTGATACATCAAATATATAAAATAAAATAGCTTGGCTGTGCGTAGAATTTAGAGCACAGGGAACAGGAAACAGGGAATAACTAAAAATAAACGAATTTCAAAAAATGACATACGGTTTAACTCTTACAAAAAGAAGTGAAAATAGCATTTCTTTATGAGAGCGCGATTCTTGAGAAATTGTGGAAATGGAATTGAGTCTAGGGATTTCAGTGCTCAAGAAAATGGCAACTAGGGTATATTTTAGTAATATGTTTTAGAAACTATTGTTTTAGAAACTAGAACTTTTAGAAACTAGAACTTTTAGAAACTAGAACTTTTAGAAACTAGAAACTACTACTATTAGAAACGTTTTAGAAACTATTATTTAGAAACCTTGAGTACTAACGGGTCAAAAGGTGGTCAATGATGTTTGAATGGTCAAAAGAACAGAAGATTTGGGGACGAAAATGAGCTGAAAACACAAGTCGAGTAGGGAGAGTACGATAGCGCTTCTAGTTTTTTTCTAGTGACGGGCAATGGTTTTTCCCGTTACAAATTTCGGCAAAAACGGAGTCTAGGGGTTGAAAGAGGCTTCTCGCCTGTTTGACTAAGAACCAGATGGTGTAGTGGATAGTGAGTTGAGCTACGAAACTGACGTCATCTTTTGCTCACGGGTTCGATCCCCATTTTCGGATTTTTTTTGTTTTAAACTTTTAGAAATGTTTTTTTTGTGTTTGTTTTAGAAATATAGATGGATTACTTGTGAAGCCGAGCTCAAAAAAACTGCGGGGTTTTGTAAAGGGCTTTTAAATAGCATAGCAAGAAAGATAGCAAGAAAATAATATCAAAAATATTAGGCTCTAATCGACGATTACAGCTGTGAACACTTCGTGACAGGTTTTGAGAAGAAATCATGGTCAGGATCAATGATTAGTTTAAAGTTTTTGAAGTTTTTGAAGTTTTTGAAGCTTTTGAAGCTTTTCAGAAACTTTCAAAAGCCATTTGTTGGCTATCCAATGAAAAAAAAATCGTATTTTATTTCGTAGCTTGAGATTTATTCAATTAGAAAATGAATTTGGGTGAAATGAATTACTCAACCAAATAGCAAGTAGCAGTACATTGTACATTGTGCAAGTACATTGTACAGTACTTGACAGTACTTGACAACTCTATGTGGAATAGAACAAATACAGAGTTGAGCAAAATTACCCGAACAAGAGTTCTTCGGCGTAACTTTGCAGCCAGCCAACTTAACCGTATCATTTCCTCCATAGTATAAATTTATTCATTCCTAACCCATTAACAGCCGTCACAACTTTAACAACTTTAAAAGAGGGATTAACACAAGATTTAACTGCTAGAGCACTTGGGATTGTCGCCAGATGACCGACTGGTTAAGAGTCTTGTCTCCGACTGGTTAAGAGTCTTGTCTCCGACTGGTTAAGAGTCTTGTCTCCTAGTCGGGGGGTTAAGGCTTCAATTCTGGCGGCTAGAAAGATTGGTTCTTTTTCCCGTTATTATGGTTTTTTTCTTAATAACATTTGGGCAATAGGGGTAATTAGGGAAAAAAATTGCCTCCATTTTGTTGTTTTCCATTATTGTTTCCATTATTCGTGTCGAATAAATATACTTTTATTGAAACATTACTGAAAAGAAAAACTCGTTGGCTGGCTTTTCTTTCGAGCCACAAAGCATCGAGCAAAATTGATCCAGAACAGAACAGGGGGTAGGCTAATTTCCGCCATTTTATTTGCGCAACAGGATCGTTTGCGCAACTCGACAAAACTTTCTTCTAAGTGGATCAATCTTTAATGCTTTTGGTGTCATTTTGTTGCACTTATTGAGACCTACAAAATGACACCAAAAGCATTAAAGATTGGCTTACTTAGAAGAAAGTTATGACGAGTTGCGCAAAAAATTTGGCGCAATTAGCCGCCGCCCAATTATTGTGCTAAACAAGAAATTGCTTGTTTAAAAACGGGGAGAGATGATAAATTTCTAATCCCTAACTTCTCTGATAGAGGTTTGAACGCTCATTCCAAAGCTGATTTTAGTTTCACCAACGGAACCCTGTATCAACTAGTTCTTTTGCGCAACTCGCCAAAACTTTCTTCTAAGTGGACCAATCTTTAATGCTTTTGGTGTCATTTTGTTGCACTTATTGAGACCTACAAAATGACACCAAAAGCATTAAAGATTGGCTTACTTAGAAGAAAGTTATGGCGAGTTGCGCAAAAAATTTGGTGCAAAGTAGCCTATCCCATTTTATGTGGTCCTATCATTTCGCAAAAGGTGTTAAATAAAGAAAATCTTATAATTTTGTTGCAATTTATTCAGATAATGTTAAATATGGTGTAGATTCGTATTTTTGTATATGTTACGTCCGAATCTGAGGAGACGTCCATCTCCGATCCGGACGTCCGAATCTGAGGAGATTCATTCTCCTCTTTAATGCTTTTGGTGTCATTTTGTAGGTCTCAATAAGTGCAACAAAATGACACCAAAAGCATTAAAAATTGGCTTACTTAGAAGAAAGTTATGGCGAGTTGCGCAAATGACCCTGTTGCGCAAATGACCCAGTTGCGCAAATGACCCTGTTGTGGAAATAAAATGGCGGAAAGCCTACCCCCAGAGCAGAGCTTCATTTCCCGCTTTTCAGGCTTTTTTCGGTTTCTAAATAATTCGAGAAAAAGCATTAAGCATTAAGATTAGAAAAGTGTGACTACTTTTTTTTCGAGGATAATTAAGTCTATGTTTATACAGGAGTTTATACAGGAGTTTATGTAGAAAAAGAATTAGAGGAGTTTTATGGAAAGGATTAACATTCAAATAACATTCAAACAAGTTTCTTGTCCGGGTAGAAACCCTGTAGAAAAGACGAAGATCTCATAACAGATTCAGCTAGTTGCCGATCGTAATAGCAAGCGATTGTAAGGCGTGCCGTTGATCGTATGTCTGAAGGGAGGAGAATGGATGGAATGGATGGAATGGAATAAGATGAATGAATGATAGGACCGGCTGAGGGAAAAGGGGAAAAGGGAAAGAGGGGAGAAGGGAAAAAGGGAAGAAGGGGATCCAATCGAATCACAAAAAACGAATAACAGAATCCTGAGCATACAAGTAAAAGAGGGGAATTGTAGGGAAAAGGAAAAGACAAGTTCTAACGGTGAAACATTCTAAAAAATTCTCTATTCGATTCGTTGCAGGGGGAATTCTCTATTCGTAAAACCATACAATAGTAATGATGAGATGAGTGCGATGAGTTTTTCTATCAAGAAAGTAAAAATTAAGATGAATGAGTTGAGAGATTAGATAGATTAGGAAATACATCTAACATTCAAACATCTAACAGCTCTAAACTCGAGATATGGAAATGGAATCAACTTATGGTTGGTTTTAATAGAATTCTCATTAAATTTGATTTTAGAAAAGTAGAATTTATTTTGTAGACTTACCGATAAAAACAGAGAAAACTAGTGTCAAAGTTGACCTTCTAAAGTATAGGGGATACTAGTATACCCTATCAGAGTTTGGGGACTCTTCTATTTTCCTCCATAACTCGACTTCCAATTGACAGATCGACTCGGGGTTGGTTTCAAAAAGATCCTTATGACATT